TAGCACTGGGGGTTGGGCTTAGGGGGTTTATATGGGGTCGTTGCCGTGGCTCATTGGGGCATCAAGTTTCTGGTCTTGGGAAACTGGTTCTGGGGAATGTCCTGACATAGGATTTTCGAGTTCCGGTTTCAGAAAATGTCCTGACATAGAATTTTCTGAGTTCTGGTTTTAGAAAATATCCTGACATAGGATTTTTTAGTTGAGCTTCAACCTCCATTTTTATTTTTAGACTAACACGCGCCTCATGAATCGCGATGCTGTGCACTTGTCACCCCAAGTACAGCCTGTGTGCACGGGCCCCTCCCCGTGCTCCAAGTTCTCCCATCTGTCCCCCAGGCCATGGTGTGGGGCCCCTCCCTGCGTCCACACCTGCCTCCTGCAACAGACAGATAGACCCTCCAGAAGCCATTCTCACCCAGTGGGGAGCTTTTGAAGATATCAGAAGCCTTGAGATTTGTTCTCTGCTGAGGCCCAGATGTCCGAAAGTCTTTAAGTCCTCAAATGATGTTCTCAATCCCAAAAGCTGTGGTTGAGAATCACTGGCGTAAAGAGGGCAAAACCCAGTCCTTGGCTGGTGAAAGCTTCCTACTGCTCCCCAAAAAGGACTGAATGGGACGGAATCATCATATACAAAGGGGTGGGGGAGAATAATACAAGAACAGAAGAGACTGGTGCCGAACAGAACAGACTAACATGGAGCAGACAAGCGTCATACGGAACAGATTGGACCAACAGAAGCAAGGAGAACTGGAGAATAGAGGAGAAGACAGAATGAGGGAGAAGACAAAAGCAGAGAAAGATGGGTGAGAAGATAAATGAAGTGTAGAATGGTTATTTCAATTCACTGCCGTTGAGTTGGAACTGACTCATGGGCTGTAAACTGCACGGGAGCAAACTGTCCCTCTTTCCTGCTCGTAACTAGCTGCTGGTCGATTTGAACTCTGAAAGACACATCGTTTGGGTGGACAGCATAACTCCTCCCCTAGAGCTCCCTAATAGGATTGTTGTTCTTGTTGTTGTTGTTGTTAAGTGTCGTCGAGTCGTAGGCGACTCAGCGACCCTATGAATGAAAGTCCTCAACACTTGTGTGACTTTCATCCTTTCTCCAGGTTCATAGGGTTTCCGGAGGCAAACTATTACAGAAGTGGATGCCACTCCTGCTTCCAAGTTTGTTTTAATTGGGGACTCCACCAAACAATGTCCACCATGGGTAACCATTATAGCATTTGACACATCAGTGATACAGTATTCTGCTTCATAGCAACCACAAGTTACCTCTGTACAGCAAGTGAGCATACCAGGGTTATACGACCTAGAAGAATGTTTCACCAAAAACAATTAAATTCCTAATAGGATTAGAATAGTAGAAAAGAGAATAGTAGAAGGTAGTGGTATAGAAATGAAAATAAGGACAGGATGAACTAGGGTGGAATCCCACCTACTCACCAGCACGTCCTCACCAGCGGCCCAGGGTCCTCACAGTGGCCCCCAATCATCCACCTCTCAGGGCTCCTGGTAACCCTCCCTCAGACACACAAGCTTATGCCTGCCTTGGACCCTTGCATTCTTTGTCCCATTTGCTTATTCTGCTCTTCCTCCCCACCTGGCAGGTGCACGATGTCACCTCCCCTGAGTCTCATCCTGACTGGCCTTCCTAGAGAAGCCACAGTCCCAAAGACATGTTCACTCGTCAATGTCCTCGCAACACCATTCACTATCTGAATACATCCCATTCATCGTCAGTTCACTCAGTCACCACCAGTTTCCACATCAGTCACCAATGGCAGAGGTTTGGGCCACCCTCACTAACGTGTCCCCACCCCCTCCCCAGGGCAGCTCTTGACACATAGTAGGTGCCTGGTCAGCATTTATGGGATGAAGAATATTTTTATCCATTCTATTACCAGTTCCCTGGGTACACACATGTTCGGTGGCCTTGCTTTTTTTCCTAGCATGATTAGTCTTCTATTACATTCTTTATTATATTCTTTTCGTCTGTTCTCAGCCTCGGTTCTATTGGCTTCTGGAGTCAGATAATCATTCCTCAGGAACCGGAGGATCGTCCAGTGCTCTGCAGGATCATGGTAGGTTTAACAGCATCCCTAGTCGCTTCTCACAAGATGCCAACAGCAACACCACCCTCACCCCCCAATTATGCTAACCAAAAACTTCCCCAGATTCCGTCACATTCCTCCTGGGGTGGCTACCCAATTTGAAAATCCCAGTTCTGAAATGTTTAAGCCTGAGCTGGGCTCTCCATTCCTCCTGGGGTGGCTACCCCATTTGAAAATCCCAGTCCTGAAATGTTTAAGCCTGAGCTGGTCTCTCCAAGGTTCCAAGACAAATGCCCTTCTGACAGACTCCATCAGATCCTACCCTTAAAGCCATCCCAACACATGACCAGCAGGGGGCAGCAAAGACCGCCCTTTCATGGTCACGGAGCGCGCTCTCTGAGAAGTCTTTATCCCTAAACATTTAATGAACTTGAACTAGTGGTTGGTTTCCCCCTTACGGCCTTGATAGTGATCCACTCCATTTGCACTTTTCCAGATTAAGGCAGAAGATAATTAGCGACAGTGTACTCAACCCACAGCAGATAGACAGCCAGGCAATCCAGGCGCTGGTTCAAGAATGGACAGAAAACAGGCAGTTCTCATTTCAGTCCCTGTTGCAACCTTTTCTCGCTCTACGTGCCTGCCCTTGGGAATGTGAACTTCGCTTGCCTGTGCCTCTTCTGTACCCTACTTCGTTTATCTCCCTAGCTCTGTGCTGTTCACTCAGAAAAACAAGAATTTGGTTCTCCACAGAGCAGAAGTCAGGGATGCTGAATTACGAAAGAATCTCTTCCCCCTCTCCCTCCTCCCACCACCCCCAGGAATCTTCTGACGTCATCTTTCAGGCCTTGACCCATGCCATCTAAAGCCAATGTTCCCCAAAGGAACTGGGGGTTAGGCCAAGACTCCTGGGGAAAAGTTCAGTGCCAGCAGGGCCAAGGAGGTGGGCACCGGACCCATCGAGGCCTCCACCAAAAAAATCACTGTCCCTGATCACATGGCCATTCCTGGGGAGTCGTCACATCACAAATGAAGAGCTGCTCAGTTCACACAGCGGTGCAGGGCGCTTGATGGCCGGCAGAGGGCAGGCTGCCTCTGCTCCTGCAGAAACAGCTTCAAAACTGCAGCTGGAGACCCTGTAAGCATGTTTGTGGATGCAAGTGTGTATATGTGTGTATGTCTGCATGTATGTGTGTGCACACTGGCACGTGTGTGTATGTGTGCATGTTCTTGTGGATGAAGGGGCATGTGTCCATTTCTGCATGCATATGGAGGTGCGCAGGTCCGTGTATTGTGCGTGCATGAATGTGGTATGTGTGTTACAGGCACGTATGAATATCTGTGCATAGGCACGCATATATAGTGGACATTTGCATCTGTGAATGTGCATTTATGTGTGCATGTACACATATACGTGCATCTATCTCCATGTGTGGCTAAGTGTGCATTTGTCTGAGTTTGTGAATATGTGTGTGTACCTGTGTGTGTTTATGTGTGCACATCTGCATGTGTGCATGTGTGTGCATGTCCCCTGGGTTGCAGAGCAGCAGCCTCAGGCCCACCCAGAAGCTGGTTGAGAGGCAGGGGATCTCGGGCCCTGCCTCCACCTCCTGCCTCAGTGTTAAAGATGTCCCTCAGAAGTCTGAAAGCCTGAGAAACGCTGAGGTAAGCCGAATGCCACCTTCTTCCTAGAAGGTGAACTACAGCCTGCGACAGAGTTCGCTCAGAACATGATAACAGAGCAATGACAGAGTTATTATCCTTATTTGCACCACCCATAGTCAGTTTTTCAAACTTGATGGCTTGTGTGCGGCTGTGATACTAGAAGTTACGATGCCAGGGTTTCAAATACTCCCAGCAAGGTCACCCGCGGAGGTCAGGTTTCAGCAGAACTTCTAGACTAAGACAGATTAGGAAGGAAGGTCTGGGAAGCAAACTCTGAAATATTTGGCCAGTGAAAACTTCACAAACAGCAGCAGAATGCTGAGTCCCTCAGGTCAGGGGGTCTTGGGAAACAAACCCAAGGCTGTTAAGACAATTCCAACTACAGCAACCTATGGGACAGAACACAGCTCTCCCACAGGGTTTCCAAGGCTGGGAATCTTTATGGAAGCAAACTGCCACGTTGTTCTTCCACAGAGCAGCTGGTGGTTTCGAACCTCTGACTCTTTGATTAGCTGCTGAGTTCTTAACCACAGTGCCACCAAGGGCTCCCTCCTCTCAGGTTGGAAGGTGCCCAAAACATGACGGGAGAAGAGTTGCCTTCTTAAAATAGAGTCAGTGTAGGGGCGGGGGGGACGAGGGGGATTCTATATCAATGAAGGAGTTTATCTTTTGCTTTTAGAAGAGAGGGGGTGGGGGTAGAGAGAAAAGCGCAACAACGAATGAATGAAAATCCAAAATCTCTGTAAATGTTCATTAAAATTAATAAAATAGAGAGTGAGTGTGTGTGTGTGTGTGTGTGTGTGCTGACTGGTACAGGAGGAGATTGCCCCTCCTTCTCCAGCAGAGCATCCTGTGGATTTGAACCACGAACCTCTGGGATTGCAGCGCAGCTTCTTGCCTCTAGGCCACCAGAACTCCCTTCAAAGTGGTGTCGCTCTTAATGACATGGGTGGAGTGAAGCCTCGGGAACCTTCACTTGCTGATGGAGCACAACACGCAGGCGCAAAACGGCTGCCTGACAGCGCAGCTGCCAGTGTTTGACTATGAATTGAAATCAACACAACAGAATCTCTTTACAGCATGACATCATTTTAGGGGACGGAGGCGCGCCCCTCAGCTCCATGCAGCCACGGACACACAGACAAGGATTCACAGAGCACACGAAGGGGACAGCGGAAGCCGGTGCTCAGTCCAGGGGGCGGGCGAGCTGGCCCCGGGTCCCACACGTGGCCTTTGGAGAATCCTGGAGCCCAGGCTCCCTCCCGGCCACTCGCTGTCCGCTCAGATGGCCGGGTCCTGCCGCTGTCGCAGCGTGAGCTCTCGGGCCGCCGCCAGGAAGGCCGCCGCTGTGAGCAGTTCGGCGATGAAGCTGACCCAGCCCAGGGCCAGCGACCAGCCGAAGCGGATGTCCACCTGGTCCAGTAGCCCCTTCTCCCCCAGCAAACACAGGGCCTCCTGGAAGGCGGCGGCCGAGTAGGCGATGTAGACGCTGATGCCGGCGAGGGTCACCACGGCTGCGGGGGACAGGGAGGCAGCAGGTCACACCTCCTAGTCTTCCTCTGTGGGCAGCACCCCAATGCCGCATTGTGTCCCCACCTCCCAAACACTGTGGGCTCCGCAGGAATACCCCGGATTCCCCAGCACCCAGCACCCGCAGCGAGCCCTTAGCAAGTATTCAGAGCTACTCTGTCCAGTACACGCAAGGCACTCTGGTGGCCTAGCGGTAAGAAGCTGTGCTGCAATCCCAAAGGCACGTAGTTCAAACCCACAGCTTGGGTAATCTCCTCCCATGTGATTTATAGCCTTGGAAAACCTGCTGGAGGGTCAGCAATGAGTCGGTTCCAACTCAATAGCACATAACAATTATACAATACAGGGAGCACTGATGGCTTAGTGGTAAGGAGTTGCACTGCCAACCCAAAGGCACGGTGTTCGAATCCACCAGCCACTATATGGGGAAAAGATGAGCAACCTCTTCTGTGATTTACTGCCTCTGACAACTCACTAGAGCCTCAGAGGGTCAGCTACAAAAACTGTCCAATATAGGAGCCTAGGTGGCATAGTGTGTAATGACTAGTAACTGAAAGTTCGACAGTTCAAATCTACCAACAGCTCCAAGGGAGAAGCATGGGCCATCTTGTCCTGTAAAGATTGATGGCTCAACTGTTAGAACCTCTACTTGGAATACTATTGCTTTTAATTTTTGATTCATGTACTTTTAACTTGTTCGTTAAATTTGTGTCTTCTAGGCTGCAGCAGTTCCATGATGCATCTTCAAGGATATGAACATGTACAGCTATGCACAACTGATAACAGTGCATCTAAATTCCAAAATCAATTTCCACAATAGTCTATGTGTTTCCTATTGCCAAAGGGGCCCTTTAGAGTAGTGAGAGAAGATCTTCACCATGAAACCCACAACATCCCTTTTCAGCAGGAAGTAGCTAAGAGAATACGCCATCCCCTTTTCCTTATGCATCAGGGTGAAGTCTCTCTCACTGAGGAGTGATAGGGAATGGCAAAGGACACACCGACAAAGGAGATTAATCAGAACTGGTTTTGACAAGCACTGTGGCAATGGGACAATTATAACAGACTTTCAAGGGGAAAAAAAGAGGAACGAACTTGGGGGGTAGGGTAGAGAAAATAGTGCAACAATGAATGAATGGAAATCCAAAGTCTCTGTAAATGTTCATTAAAACTAATAAGATAAAATTTTAAAAAAAGATTGATGGCTCAAAAACACAAGGTGAGCCTGAACCAGTGGGATGTCAATGGGTTTGGTCCAGATTTCTGTCTACTATGGTACCCAGGAATGGCCCGATAAATCCAAATCCATCTAATGATTGGTCTGGTCCTCTTTGCACCTGCCATGTGCATGAACTGTGGCTTACAGATCGGCAGCACTGAGGCAAAAACACTTCTGCCAGCACAGGATGGATGGATGGATGGATGGATGGATGGATGGATGGATGGACGGACGGACGAACCACCCCTGTCAGCATTAATGGCCATACGGAGCTAGAAGAGTACAGAACTACACAACATTATCACCTCCAAGAACGGCTTTCATTTGTCCCTTCTACTAAATACATTTATGTATGTGTGTGTACACACCTCACTATCCTCCTTCTCCCCTTTTCCTAATGATCCCTCTCAGACACACAGCCAGGATGGGGAGCCTGGGACAGATAGAATAGATGGACCTCCGTTTGAAAAGGTCTGAGCTGTGCTACCAATGTGTAAGTACATGGTTTGAATCCACCAGCTGCTCCATGAGCGAGTGACGAGCAGTCTCCTCCCACGTGATTACTGCCTCTGAAAACCCACTGAAGGGCCAGCTCTGGGTTCGTTCTGACTCAGAGGTACATAACAACAACTTACTGTGGACATCACCAGATGTACCACTGCCCCCCACATGCAGTAGTGGATAAGGGAAGCCCCCTGCCCTTCTGGGCTGACATTCTAGCAAAGAGAGACAAGCAGACCCACGGATAAATACTGAAATGACACAGACAGACAAGTACAAGGGGCAGGATAGGACAGGAGGGGGACAGAGAGCTGGGTGGAGATTTCCAACAGCCCAGGTGAAATGACCTTTGAGTAAAGACCGGAAGGAGGTGAGGGGGATGTCTGAAGTACTGGAGTGCAGAGGTCCTAGGGGAGAAGTCCTGTGAGACTGGGTGCCTGAGAGGAACAGTGAGCGCCAGGTGGGGGAACGAGGCAGAGTGGTCCAGACTGACTGGTCACTGTGTGTGAACCAACTGTTGTTTGTCTTGGTGGTATTTTAATCCATCAAACTGCCTGTCTGTCCCAACAACAGGTCAGAGTGAGGAATAAGGTGGTTAGGACCAGGGTCTCTGGTCAGCACCCAGCCCCACAGTTCAAAGCTGCCCGGAGTGCAGCCAGGAACCTCCCACTTCATCTGTGAAATGATGACAAATGATGCTCGTAACCTGGCTCATCCTCCGCTCTTTACTTGGAACCACAGACCCCAGGGCTGTCTATCTGAACCCATTGTCTTCCAAATGCATGCTTCCCTCTACACACACCCCTCACCCAGCCTCTCCTGGAGTCCAGCCCCAGGCCGAGGCACCTACCTCCAAAGAGGAAGAGAATCCCGGTGAGGAGAAGCAGGAGGTGCGCCCTGATGAGGAAGCTCAGAAAGCCCGTCATGCCGCCAAAGACCATGAGGATCAGGCTGAGCGGCAGCAGAATCACAAAGGTCCCATGCATGGCTGGGCAGAGACAGAGAGCAGGCCAGTCAGAGCAACACTACCGTCCAGCAGTCAGTCAGCAAACACACACCGTCACGCCCGGGGATACGAGGCCGTTACTGTAACTGCCCCACCATGATGAAGGAGGGGAGGTCATGGGTGCCGCTCAACACACTCAGCTACTGAGGGGGAGGTTGGAGGGTCAAGTCCACTCAGAGGCCACTGGGAGGACAGGCCTAGCATAATATTCCCCGGGAACCAGCCACCAGAACCCCAACAGAGCACAGGTCTACTCTGACACACAGAGGGTCACCATTTGTTGTTGTTGTTTTGTTGTTACGTACCATAGAGTTGAGTCCAAACTCATAGCAACCCATGAACCACAGATCTGAGCCCTGCCCTAGCCTGTGTCAAACTCACAATCTCTGACACACTCGAGCCTATGCCGTGGGCACTGTGCCGATCCACCTGGTTGAAGGTCTTGCAAAAACTCATTGCCGTAGTATTGAAACAGACTCATCGCTGACCCTCCGGTGGGTTTTCAGGGGTTGTAAATTGCATGGGAGGAGACTGCTCAGCTTTCTGCTGTGGACCAGCTAGTGAGTTCGAACCACCAGACAGGCTCGGGCTTTGGGCTGTCAGCCCAATTCCCTGCAGACTATGCCACCAGAGTCAATTTGACAAGAGCTGTTTTCCCTAAAGATTGAGGAGGAGGAGAAGGATGAAGAGGAGGAGGATAACGTTCTAAAGACAAAATCACTGTGGTTGACTTGATTCCAACTCATAACGACCCTAGAGGACAGAACTACTCCCTCGTGTTTCCAAGGGTTTCCATCTTTGGGATGAAAGAATGCAACATCTTTCTCCTATGGAGGGGTCGCTGGGGTAGAACCACGGACCTTTCAATTAGCATCTGAGAACTTAACAGCTGCACGGTCAGTTCCTTACTGAAACTCTGTGTATTCTGTAAGCATCATCCCACGCGTCTATATTGCAGGAACTGCTAGGTTTGTTCATTCTCTCATTCACCTGACAAAGCGGATCACGTACACACTGTTTGACGTAGTGCAAATGCTCACTCAAAACTGAATGCTATTGAGTCAGTTCCCAAAAAAAGAGACCCTCTGTGGGGTCTCCGAGGTTGCAAACACGTTTGACACCCCATGTCCCTCCCTGGAGCCACTGGTGGGTCTGACGATGGCTTGTATCAGCAGTGCTACTTGCTGTGGACCACACCACCAGATGTACCACTGCCCCCCAAGTGCAGCAGTGGATAAGGGAAGCCCCCTGCCCTTCTGGGCTGACATTCTAGAGAAGAGAGACAAGCAAGCCCACAGATAAACACTGAAACGACACAGGCAGACAAGTACAAGGGGCAGGACAGGAGGGGAACAGAGAGCTGGATGGAGATTTCCAACAACCCAGGTGAAATGACCTGTGAGTAAAGACCAGAAGGAGGTAAGGGGGATGTCTCCAGTACTGGGGTGCAGAGGTCCTAGGGGAGAAGTCCTGTGAGACTGGGCACCTGGGAGGAACAGTGAGCGCCAGGTGGGGGAATCAGGCAGAGTGGTCCAGACTGACTGGCCACTGGGAGGACGCTGGCTTCCTGTGATGGGGCTGAGTCAGATCTGACTAGTGTTTTCACAGGCTTGCTTGGCTGTTCTATCGGAAGCAGACAGTAGGGGTGAGTTGGGGTGTCTTGGGCCCCACCAAGTGCAACCCAGGAGTAAAGCCTTGAAATGGATCTTTGCAGACAGAAGTTAAAAATCTCAAGACGAAATCACCTTCAATTTTAAAACCCCACTGCAGTTGAGGGGGTCAAGCAACCTTGTAAACTCTTCTTACGGAGAAGCCGGTGGATTTGAACCACCAACCTTGCAGTTTGCAGTCAAGTGTCTACTTCCCTGTATTAGTTCTTGTTGTTGCAAGTCAGATCTGACTCATAGCTGAACTGCCAGTGGGTTTTCAGAGGCTATAAGTTGTGCTTTATACAACTTACAAAGAGGAGGAGACTGTTCATCTTTCTCCTGTGGAGTAGCCAGTAGATTCAAACCACTTGCCTTTGAGTTCCAAGGTTCATGCCTGTTGTTCACAGGGTTACTAAGAATCGTACTCAACTGGATGGCACCTAACAATAACAACAGGCCACCAGAGCTCCCACGCTGTGGCTGGCCCTAAATCCAAGGACCAAACCCAGGTTCAGAGGCCTCATCTCTCCCAGAGGGAGACCAGAGCTGAAAAGCATAAATCCTGATTCTAAGTCTGTCTCCATCCATGACGGTCAAGTTGATTTCGATTTACAGCAACCACACAGTACAGGCTGATAGAACACCTGACATGCCGGACTGCTAACCAACCCAAAGGTCAGCAGTTCGAGTCCAGCAGCCACCCTGTGGGAAGAACGAGGCAGCCGGCTGCTGTTAGGGTTGACGGCGTCAGAATCCCAATGGAGGGTCAGATCCCCACAAGTTAGAATCGGCTCAAGGGCAGAAGGTTTGCTTAAGTTTTTTCATAGCGCGAAGGAGATCTGCCCCCAAGGATGGCAATTGTTACGTGAGTAGACATAATATGTCATTCTCTCATGGGGCAGTGGGTGGGTTCAAACCACTGACTTTTCGGCTAGCAACACAATGCTTAATCCAATGCTCCACCAGGGCTCCTTATGTGCCTGTACACCAAGGACAGATGTCCCCCAGACCTGGGCTGGGGGACTATTCTCTCCTGCCAGCAGCAGAGTGAGCCCTACCCATCCCCAGGAGGCCCCGTTTTATGCCCACTTGAGGGGGGGATGTTCTGTCTGAGGACGTGCCAGTGGACCCTGGAAGTATAAAGCTATATCTGCCCTGTACAACAGCTGGTGAGTTCAAACTTCCAACGTTTAGGTTAGAGGGTAGATAGATGCTTAACCGCAGCACTGCCAGGGCTCCTTCAGAGATAAATTGTTGTTGTGTACTGTCGAGTGGGAACTGACTCATAACTGACCCTCCAACGGGCTTTCAGAAGCAGTAAATTGCACATGAGGTGACTGCGCATCTGTCTCCCACACAGAAGCTAGTGGACTTGAACCACGTGCCTTTGGGAATGCAGTGCAGCTTCTTACCACTGGGTCACCAGAGCTCCCTCAGAGGTACATTTAACAAAGATAAATACAACCTACAAAATGGGAAAAGAATTCAAAGACTTGAACATTTGTATAACTTAGATTGTTTCTCCACATTCATAGAGTTTCCAAAGGCAAGCTATTTCTGAAATGGATGCCACTCCTGCTTCCAAGCTTGTTTTAATCAGGGAGCGCCACCAAACACTGTCCATCATAGGTAACCATTGTTGCACTTGATACATTAGTGCCACAGTGTTTATCATCACAGCAGCTACAAGTTACCTCTGTACAGCAAATGGACAGACCAGTGCTATGCCATTTAGAAAAAATGTTTGACCAAAACCTATTAAAAATTGACAACTAAATGGGTATGAAAAAAATTTTGGCCTTTATTCTGCACGTTATCTAAATAAATAAATA